TGTCTGAAGCCAGTGATGCAGATGTTGGTAAAAACAGCATCAGTACATATAGATTAAGTCCAAATGATCATTTTTCATTAGCGGTGCATAAAGCAGGCGGCAGCGTGTCTGCTGAGCTGGTGCTGAAGAAAGCTTTGGATCGAGAGAAGCAGCCTCTCATCACAATGACACTGACTGCTGTAGACGGGGGGAGCCCACCAAAATCAGGAACCTCTCAACTTGTGGTAAACGTTTTAGACAACAATGACAATATCCCGACATTTAGTGAATCTCTGTATAAGACAACCCTCAGAGAAAATGCAGCATTAGGCACGCGAATCATTACATTGAACGCAACTGACGCTGATGAGGGCTCGAACAGCGAGATTTTGTATTCGTTAAGAAGCAAAGATCAAGATCATGTGCTGGATGTCTTTGAAATTGAAGCTCAAACAGGTGTAGTTAAGGTGAAAGGTTATATTGATTACGAAGAAAAAAGAGCATACGAGATAAGGGTGGAGGCCACTGATCAAGGCACTCCCCCTATGTCTGCTCATTGCAAAGTGCTGGTTGAGGTTTTGGATGTTAATGACAACGCTCCGGAGGTCACGGTGACATCACTGCACAATGCCGTGCCAGAGGATGCCGCTGTGGGCACTGCAGTCGCGCTGGTGTCGCTTTTTGACAAAGACGGTGGTGAAAACGGTCATGTGACTGTACAAATTCAAAATGAAGTTCCATTTAAACTCGAAGAAAATTACAAAAACTATTATTCTCTGCTTGTTGATGAGCCGCTAGACAGAGAGAGCGCACCGCTCTACAACATCACCATCGTTGCCAAAGATAACGGAATTCCACCTCTTTCCAGCACCAGCGTAGTTTATGTTCACATTTCTGATGTAAATGACAATGCGCCTCACTTCTCAGAGCCCCTCATTAATGTTTACATCAAGGAAAATAGTCAAACAGGAGCAATAATTCATAGAGTGACTGCAGTAGATTTTGACACTGATGAAAATAGAAAAGTGACATACTCACTTGTGCAAAGCAGCACTTATGCCATGCCGCTAACTACTTTGATAAATATCAACTCAGAGAGTGGAGACATCATGAGTTTGCAATCTTTTGACTATGAGAAGTTAAAAACGTTTCAGTTCAAAGTTCAGGCCACAGACTCTGGTGTTCCTCCACTCAGCAGTAACGTCACCGTAAATGTGTTTATCCTGGATGAGAATGACAACAGTCCCAACATTTTGCCTCCCTATTCCGAGCATGGCTCCATTAACAGTGAGAACATCCCCTATTCTGCCGAAGCGGGATACTTTGTGGCAAAGATCAGGGCAGTGGATGCAGACTCTGGATACAATGCACTGCTCTCCTATCACCTGTCTGAGCCCAAAGGCAACAACAACCTCTTCCGGATCGGAACCAGCACCGGGGAGATTCGGACCAAGAGGCGAATGAGTGACAATGACCTGAAAAGTCACCCCTTGGTGGTGTCGGTCTGTGACAATGGAGAAGCCTCCTTGTCAGCGACTGTGTCAATTGATGTGGTGGTGCTTGAAAGCACAGCTGACATCCACACTCCTTTAACACGGAGCAAGGAAAATTTGAAGCCTACAAAGTGAGAGTCAGAAAACTCTCCTCTCATGACACATGCTGCCAAGAACACGTCACCATCAACAATCGCCTTCTGCTCTTCCTGCCTGTTGTTTTACAGTAGAGTAAGTAATTAAGTAATTTGGGGGAATTGCACCATTGCTTTCCAAATGAGTGAACAATGTGGTTGTGTGTCTATTTCAGTGGCATGTATGTGTGGGGTGGAGGCATGCTCCATATTGCCCTGTCCTGGCTCATGTTTTTGCTGGATGCTTCCCTGTCCTACTTTTCCGACCAATGGAGGGAGAGCAGATTTGGAAATAAATGATTAAAATGGATTTCTTCCCTCTTCTTTGTGATATTTTATATTTTAACATGTGTAGCTCTTTATGTGCAGAGGGGCTAGCCATTGAACCATGTGCTGCTGCTCAACATCCACTTCTAAATAGAATGTTAAATATTGTATGCCATCCTCTCTCTCTCTCTCTCTCTCTCTCTCTCTCTCTTCCTTCCCCTGCTCATCTCTCCTTCTT